CTCAATTTCAAACCGGGTTTGTCTTCGAGTTTGTCATTGATTTGTGCGATACGTCCGGAAACGGGAGTGAATATCTCAGAGGCGGCCTTCACGCTCTCGACGGCCCCGACTTCATCTGTTCCCTCCAAACAAACCATTCAAACATAACCAACACTTTTAATACAATGATTATGAATACCGTTTTGTTCAAACTGTTGGTCCACATCAGGCAACTGGACGTACACCACATCTCCGAGCGCTTCCTCCGCGTACTTCGATATGCCGACGGTTCCCACGGTTTTGCTCGAGTCTAATGTCAGCCATTCGTGTTTATCACTATAACGACGGTCTGAATCAACCGTACAATTGATAAATGATATGAAATCTCAATCCATACGATATATGCTTATACCTGAAGCATGTCTTGTAATTAGTTTTGCATAAAAGCACCGATTGGTCGCTTCATAACTATTGAACACTGTTTTGAACACTCGATTGACATTCAGTTTCCAAACACGACTTCTGGAGAAAGTGATGGCAAAAGACATTTTCCCGTAAAATAAAACAAATTACTTTCTCTTCGCTGAACTAAGAAAACGCAACGAAAATATGGTTTTCAGTGAAAACTTTTTAGTGAATAAAATTGAGATACAGATAACAGATAAGAGGACTTCAAGGACCTAATGCTCGACTCTATAAGACTAACACCGATATATCGGATGGCAATCAAAGGCCTTAATAGTGAGTTGAATTTCAAAACAGCGATCAGTGCCTCAAAAACTCAAAGTTTGCCTCAATTTGTCGCCAATGTTTGTATCCGAGGATAGGATAGCATATGAATGGCATAGAGATGTGCGAAGGGATGGCTAGGGATGGGAGGGATGGGATGCGCAGACACTGCAGACACAGCACTGCCTAACGCTATGGCAAACACAGTGCTGTAAACATCAAGTCCTCTATCATATCATTGAACGATCAGCTGATCACTGAATATATGATGAAATTCAGCGATTGTTTCCTGAATTGAGGTCTGATTTAGGATTCATTGATCGCAATGTTATTGAAATTAAGTGAACGCTTGTTATCAGTGAAGAGGGCATTAAAATTGAGACAAATCTATGCAATAAATGTAATACAAGTTTGCGATTATAGCGACAAAAAACATGAATCCTATTTCAGCGCAATCGGCGGTCAGACCGATGAACCGCCGCCTGATCTCAGCCCTCAACAGGTATGCCATCAAACATATTAACACTTCATATCACTTGTGGTCAGACTATAGATAATCCACTCATTCATTACTTGAACCACTTTTACAACACTTTCATTGAATTGATATTTTTTAAAAAGTTATGCAAAAGTCTAATGGATTTAAATATGAATTGAATAACAGGTGAACACAATATTGAGGACAAATGAGACGACAATTGGGAAAAGTATACTAAAAGTAAAGCTCATTGAATGCAATCAATTGGCGTCCAATCATCCCATCGAAGACAGAATAAGGATATCGACGTTTCACTTCCCGGACAATCATTCCTCTGACAAAAGTGTGTCCAAATCAATAGCATTAGCGGTATTTGACGGACACGGAGGCGGCTCTTGCGTTGATATCATCTCTCGCAGACTTTTTCATTATATCGCTCT